CCTGGGGTCGGAATGACAACATTATTCACATCATCATAATTTCCTGCCCCATCTGTGTAGAGAAGAAAAAAAACTATTAAATGATGATTTCACAATATAAATTAAAAATTTACGTTCAGATACAGCAGTACTTGAGCCAGTTGATTTTATATACCACTTTTAAATAACATACCGACAGACGCAAACTGCTGGCAGAATGAGGACGTTTGCACTGGCCGATCATGTGTCAGTCCAGGCATGTTGTCAAATGTACTACTGATTTCCATGGCAACCCCTGTGATCGGCCCCACGTCCCAGTAGTCAGACAGAGAGCATGTCAGTGGTCAAGCAGTTTTTAGCACTGCAAGGGTAAATTATCAACAATGCACTCGCATGCAAGTTTATTGTGCCAGCTGCAGCTGCTGTGGCCAGCGGTCCGAAAGCAGAACAGAATCCTGTGGTGCTGTTCACGATTCCTCAAAAGGTTTTAAAAAAAAAAAAACTGTGAGTCAAATCGGGGCAAAGCTCCTTTAAGAGTCTACATCTCTATCTGCACCTTCACACACAATCAATTCATTGTATCATTTGTTGAGAAAGACAAAAAACATACGGTAATAATGTGTTTCTAAGTTAAAAGTAACTAAAGAAATTACACAAAATGTCTTTTGTTGGCAAAAATGTGGTAAATGTGCTCAAATGAGGATCCTACAAAGTTATGCTACTAAAAAAAAGTTGATTAGACAACATTACAGATTAAAGTGACAAGTTAAATTCACATTCAAAAAAATCTAAAACTGATTCAAAGAATCAAATATATAATATTAATAAAATGTGAATAAATTTAAATGCACTCCAGACTAACTCAAAGCTGGTTCCCAAAACACTGCACTCATTATTCCAAACATTTCATAGCTGAATTCCAAATAGTTCCATAAGGATTGCACCCTAGACATTTCCCCTCTCTCTTTCAGAGGATGTGTGAGCAGGAAACACCGCTGATGGTTCAGAGATCACAGTTTAACTGAACAGTCAAACAGATTGTCCAGTGGATTTTCTCAAGCATCAGTTCAAAGCGCAATGAGAACTTCCTGTAGATCCTCGGAACTGCTTCCTCTGACACCAGTCCCCTTTCCAGCCATCCCCATCAGTCTCTTGGTCACAGCCTCCCTTCTTCCGTGTCATCTTCTGTTTCCTATGCTATATCGGATCCATTTTACTACCTTTCTTTCTTCAAGCTCAAAAACACAGCTAGCCTTTGAGATGCGCGGCACTGCTGAACAATCCTACCACGCTGAGAGCTTCATTTGGGAACTAAAAAGTTTCAATTCATTTTTTTTTATCTATACTTACCATTGCTTCTTTCTAAGCAATAAATATGACTCCCTTTTAAACGATCTGTCAGGCAACAGTCTGGTAATTTAATGGCGCATTAATTAAATCCCAAACAGCTAAGAGCTTTTAGTTTGCCCAAACACAAACTGATTGAATGAGTTACTTCATTGCGGTTCATTGACTCACAGCTGTCTGTAAACAGCTCTCAGTGAATACGCACATGACAACAACAGTGTTGGTTTTGCTCTGTCTAATCAATAGGTTCCTGGCAGAGCAAGAGTGAACAAGACAGCACTGATAGCAGGTCCTTTTTCTTTTCAGGTCCAGTTCCACTTAGCACAAATCCAGATTTCCTTCAAACACAAAGAAACAAAACCGGACTGATTATCAGAGATCGGTCCTGGTTGTTTCTAAAAGCACAGCTTTTAAAATGTCCAAACATCTTCACCATGACAACAAAATAACTTTTTGAGACAGCAGCTTGAGGCAAAATGAGGAAGCGAAGGCATCTGATATTCAAGTCAGCTTCTTTCTTCTAAAATTAAGAGACAGTTGTCCTGAAACCAAAAAGACAGACCTTGTTCCTACATCCTTTTTTTTCCCATGAAGACTCTTCTTGGCTAACTAAACAAACACGCCAAATCACAAAAAGTGTGCCACAGTTTACACTCAGGTGCTCCGAATATTCAAACGTCCAGCTCTCATCACAACCAAACAGTTTTGACACAAGGCCACAGACTGCGTGCATGCAGGATGGGAGAGGACGGGGGTCACAAACAGCACTGTATCTGTCATAAGGCTAACACAGCATTTTAACTGTCTGTGTGTGTGTGTGTGTGTGTGCGTGTGGTACAAAGGCTGGTATGCTACTGTATTGGACACTTAAACACATGACCATTGGGGTTGGGAAACTTCACTCTTAAAGTGACAGTACTACATAGTGTCCTCCCCAAAAACTGACCTGGAAGAAATAGTATAGGCCTATTGGTTGATGGGTCATATGATGGTTGTTAATATTTTCAGTACCACACAATAGCACTAGGGTGCAGCATCTCCTCAGTGATTCCAAAAGTCTCTCAAATGAACTATCTACAAATGACACTGCACATAGATTTGTGTCATTAAATTTACACTGCAGAGGTGGCACAGAAGCACTTCTAATGTGGCATTTAGGTGTCCTTACACAGTTTTTTGCTGCTCAGAGGTGGCATAAATGCATTTACACAAAAACTGCAGCTGTATAATTTGATACTAGGGGCTGAGGTGGGTCAGAGCAAGCATGACTTACTTTTACACTGAATTTTTAGCAGGCACAGAGCAGCCTTAACTCAGCTGTAAAGAAACACAAAGAAAATTGTCAATAACAATTTCAACCACTTTTTCTACATAAAAATAAGTTCTCTTTTACAATGTGTTGTAGGTGGAATTATCATTTTAAATCAAAAGTAATCAAACAAAGATATTTTATTTGATGACATCATGATTAAATCTAGCACCCTCAATGACATGATCCGCCACCGATGACAGCCGCAGTGAACACAGCTGAGCATTATAAACTTCAAACTCCAGCACTGACATCACTGTTCATTATAACACACTAATGAAATCAAACTCACTCTCAACAATTCCTCTGTATTAGATACATTTCCACATTTTTCTCCATTTTCAACATTACAAAAGCTTTTATAAAGCAGTGTGGGGAAAAATAGCCCTGCTCTACTAAAACTATAAATTCTGCCTATGCAGAAGGCCTACAAATCATCTCCCAGCTCATTAGCAATGTCAACAATGCAGTCAACAATGACGAAAAGGCTTGACTGCAGAGTCCTCTAGAGTCAGTGCTTGGAACTCACACTATTTAAATGGCCATCTTGCCTTCCCACTGTCACATGATGCATGTCTGTGGTCACAATCAAGGAGAATGAGGGTTAAAGATCAGGTTTCATGTCGACCAGGGCCTGTAGTATCTCAGCAAAATCTAATGATCAGCATTCCTGTAACACTGACTATTTAATGAACCAATACCCGACAGCAGAGGTTTTCAAATGAAGGTCCGGCCTAGGACACCAGAGAACTGCAAGGGAGTGTAGGGAGTCTGTGGACAATTCAAAGAATGTTATAAAATATTTAAGTTAATGCAGTAACTTTAACTTATGAATATATATATATATATATATATATATATATATTCATTTCTAGGCATTTCTATAAAATCTTTTTTTGCCGTGTGGGTTTGCTGGAGTCGAGCGCTGCACAGAGATGAGTTTTGACAGTGTATTCCTGTGCATCTCTGACTCTCATTCTCTCTGTGAGCTATAAGCAATGGAGGCAATTTAGGCAGAACTCCTGTGTATTGATCAAAGCCCGGTGAAATAAATAAGCTGCCAGACTCATGCCAATCTCAGCTGACAGCGTATGAGGAGCTGGACCTGCTCTCCATCGCACAGCAATAAAGAAGAACAGAGAATCACGCTCTGCTGCTTTCAATCTCCAAGAAAACGTGTGGATACAGCGATGAGACTCATCCTTCTCTGACCGCATCAGACATATGCAAGCTCTGCTGATGCTGGAGTTAATGGATATGACATCTTAATCTAGATAGACTAGTCTAGTTATTGTAGTGCATTTTCCAGAAGAATATTTTAATAGTTGTGTTTTGTAGCTCAGGAGACTTAAAGCTGTCAGATTCAACTTCGTCTCAGATGTTTCTCCTGAAGTTCCTAAGAAAGAAAGAAAGAGACAGATCAGTCAATACTTGACATATACAGAACAAACTATAGAAACAAACTGAGATTTCTGACTCGCAAACATTGCAAATCTGAGATCTATTTCTCAGGAGAAACATCTGGGAAGCAGGAGACTTTAGCAAGCACCTGCAGTTAACACTGTAACACAATGAACATGTGTAACGATCAGATCAGATCAGGTCAGGGTTGTTATGCTTATCTAATATATATTATATATATATATATATATATTATATAGTGAATTATGATGTTATTATTGTTTTATTTTGCTTTCTAAAGACTGGCTGGAAGTCATGAAGTTAATGATTATTTTATTCTATTGATTTTAATAGAACAAATAATAATTAAAAAATTAAATACGTTTAAATACGTCTAAAATAATTCTAATCTTGTGTAAAAAAAAAAAAAAGGTACTTTTCCCCACAAGGCTGCGGTTCTCTCGATTAGTTGTGCATCTTTTTCTTCCACACTTTTTCCTTCCACTCAACTTTCTGTTAACATGCTTGGATACAGCACTCTGTGAACAGCCAGCTTCTTTGGCAATGAATGTTTGTGGCTTACCCTCCTTGTGAAGGGTGTCAATGATTGTCTTCTGGACAACTGTCAGATCAGCAGTCTTCCCCATGATTGTGTAGCCTAGTGAACCAAACTGAGAGACCATTTTGAAGGCTCAGGAAACCTTTGCAGGTGTTTTGAGTTGATTAGCTGATTGGCATGTCACCATATTCTAATTTGTTGAGATAGTGAATTGGTGGGTTTTTCTTAAATGTGAGCCAAAATCATCACAATTAAAAGAACCAAAGACTTAAATTACTTCAGTCTGTGTGCACTGAATTTATTTAATACACAAGTTTCACAATTTGAGTTGAATTACTGAAATAAATGAACTTTTCCACGACATTCTAATTTATTGAGATGCACCTGTATTTGGGTCCCTCGCATTATCTGACAGCTCAGGCTCTGGAGAGAGAAGTCACTGACAGAACGCATGAAGGCTGCTGCTGCACACAGAATGGATGACAGATCTGTGGAAGAGAGCTGAATGCCTAATAAATGCCTTAAAGATGTGCACTGGCCTGCACGCAGTCCTGCTCTGCCAGCAGTGAAACTCGGGTAACTGCAGGTGACCCAACATCATAAACGTCAGCTAAATATGTGGAGTAACACGAACACAATCTGCTCACTCTCATCTTCCTCCAGCAGCCCGCTGCTCGTATCGTCCCAGGTCAGAATCAGCGGCACGTCGTCGTCCCCCTCCGCCATCCCGCGATGAGAGGACCGCAGTTTTAGGGGACACAAAGTCTGTTTGGCCAATAAACTGACCTTTCGGTGCTGCAGAGAAACTTTAACACTGAACACGCGACACGAGTTACAGAAACCGCTTTACTGTCCCCGGACACCAAACCGAGCCAGTTTATGCTAAAATGTGTTTGAAATCAACTTTGACGGTGTGAGTTAAACGAATCATAATTATAACCGTAACAGAGCCTACGTCAATATTTTCGCCTGTTATTAAAATACCAACGCAAGCGCAAAGCATATTGCGTATTTCCAACTAATTAAAAGAGAATTTAACTTTCGAAGGCAGGAAAATACGATTTAATCGAGTTTGTAACATTATAAATAAAAGAACTGCCGCCGTCAAGCAGGAGGGTTTGACGTTACATCTTTTTACGGCAGTGTCATTTTTGGCCGCAGGGATAAACTGCTGAAGTGTCACAATAAAAGCCACGGAGTGAAAATGTGTCTCATGCCAAACATATTTAGACATTCAATAATAATATGAGGTTTATGAAATACATGCAGGGAAAATGTATCTATATATATGTGTAAGTAAATCACGGATGAGATTTCTTATTTTGTTTGTTGCTAGAGTGGGAAGTCACTGGGATCAGAATGTCATGCCACCGGTTGTCACAGCAACTGGTATACATAACATCAGAGTGTGTTGTTTACATGCATACAGATTTCTACAAACATGAATAATAACACGGTAATGTACAACATGTTCAGGGAGAGCAAAATGGTTATTGTTGTGCGTTATTGTTTATGGGTTATTTAGACATTTAAATGTTAAGTGCAAAGTATTTCTTTGTCAGCAATGAATAGGAATATAAATAGAAATGGCCGATACGATAAAATCGATAAATCTTTTTAAAAATCTATCATAAAACACATGTAAGCGTTGTAATCACATTGGAGTAAGTATTTTTTGGGGGGAAAAAAGTTACAATTCCCTACTAAGATCTTTTTTTTTTTTATCGTGTAAAATGTATTTAAAATATCAAAATGAATTAGAACTTTTTTGTATGAATTGCATTTTAATGTATTTTAAGTAACTTTAAGGATTCAGACTCTTATATCTCCTCCCTTCTGTTTTTAAATAGCCTACGTCTTACAAAGACATTTTCACCTCTTTAATGTTTTAAAAATGATTTGATGTCTGAATAGTTTTCTCTCTGTCAATCATAGAAACCTCTAATGATGGGCTCAAAATCAGACGCCGTCCCTCCTGAAGACAGACTATCAGATGCAGCCACCCTTCCAAACAAAACTAAAGCAGACTACTTAAAGACCATCAACCCCTCCAGGAAGACACTGTCATCTCTGGAAGCAAAGCTTATATTTGGGGTACTAGATGAGTGCATTCATCAGATGGAGATAGTCTCTCTTCTACCCACTTTGCTGAGCTCTCCAGAAGCACTTTCCCAGAGTCTTGGAGAGGAAGTGGTCCATGCCCTGAAAGAGCACCAGAGGCTTGGGGAAAAGTACCAAGCTATGGTGCTTGATGCGAGCTTTGAGCAAAGTGAACTAAAGGAACAATTAGCCAAATCGACAAAAGCAGTTCAGGACTCCTTTCATAACATTATGCGGCTACTTAGGGCAACTCCGACCACAAGGGAGGTGCTAAAAGGCATAGAACCCAACACAGTGGGAGAGATGGAGACTCAGAAACTGAAAGAGGGTCTGTGTGAGTTGAGAGAGATTGTTTTGGAGAGGCTTCTCACTACACCTGCAGAGGAGAGAGAACGCAGAGAGATGATGCTTGAAGTCAGTCTACGTCACTCTGCCAACCAGGAGCTGATAGACTCACTGGAAAAAGAGGTTGCCAGTGCAATAAAAGACAAGGATACAGAGGTCAGCAGCATGATAAGAAACAAAAAATGTTATAAAGTTGACAGAATGAATGAGTTCTTCAAACTACTTGATTATATTCTCTCTCTATTCTCTGACTCTTACTCCTATTTAGATCTCCACGTTGAATAATAAAGTGCACCAGCTGAGAAACTCACTGCATCAGATGGAAAAAGGTTTGGAGGACTTCATCGTCCGAACTCAACAGGATGCTGAGAAACAGAGCCAATCAGACACAAAAACTTCAGAGGGGAAGGGAGCTCGTTTGCAGCAGGAGGCCAGTCAACTGAGAGCTCAGCTCAATAATGTGACTGAAGAGGACAGAAAGAGAGAACTGGCACTACGAAAGGTGTATTTATGCACATTTAAGTATAATTCAGTTAAATAGCGTGCGTGGGTATAGTTATTTTGTTGTAAATGTTGCTGGTTTTGATTTGCAGAAAAAATACAAGGAGGAAACAGAGATTGAGAACTGGATCCAGAAATATGATACTGAAATTGGAGAGAAACAGGTAGACATTAATCTGACATTTACTTATGTTGATGCAGTTTCATTTTCAGATGTAGTTGCAGATACCGTTCAAACATTTGGGCTCAGTATTTTTTCTAAGATTTTTATTGAAAAAAAATTTTTTTTTACTCCGCACTCAACTGAAAAAAAGTGACCAAATCAGTATATTATAATGATGATTTCTGAAAGATCACGTGACACTGAAGACTGGAGTAATGATGTTGAAAATTCAGCTTTGCCAATCACAGGAATAAATTACATTTTATTCAATATGTCACACCCCATCTTCATGTTTTAATAGCAAATACATCAACACATAAAAGAAACTTGTAGATTTGAGAGAATTGTTGAACGTGTGTGACCAGAACATTCAAATTACTTCTCAATTAATTGTCACTGTGTAAATGTATTTAAAAATGTAAATGTTGTTGTTTTTATGCTCATGTGCATTTGATTTTGTATGTCTATATGTGTGTCTAGACAGAACTGGAGGAAATGACACGCATGTATGAAGCAGACATGGCAGAGCTGAGAGCGCTGGAGGAACATTCTGCAGTTCTGGACCTGGAGTACTCCCAGATTATGGAGGAGCGACAGGAGGCTCAGAAGCAGAGGGAACAACAGCAAAGAGAAAGAGAGATGCAGAGCCAAGCTGCCACTGTCATTCAGGCCCACTGGAGAGGCTTTTGTGTACGCAAGGCCATGAAGGCCAACGCAAAGCCCAAGAAAGGGAAGAAAGGAAAGGGGAAAAAAGGGAAATGAAAGAAAGCATGAAAGCATGGTGCAAGATTATCAACAATATTATTTACGTTATTAGATCAATAAAATGGAAAAAAAAAACACTGTGACTGTGAGACTCATGAAGCATTCAAGTGTTGTTGTACAGTTGTTAACCAGATATTTACCCTGATTTCTTTCAAATCTGTTCATTTTTGAAATTTTGAAAGTTGTGTAGTGTATTCCAGTTTATAGAAACAATGGCTGTATCTGAAACCTGAAAACTGCTGCCTACACAGTATATGGAGGAAGAAATGAAGACATGTCCGAATCCAATGAATATATTTTGATATCTCACATATCTGAATCCAATAATAATATTTCATTGATTATTAAAGAGGAAACCCTTTTAATTAAACATCCCTTTAATCTCCATGTCCCTGTACAATATTCCTGGTGTCCCTCCCACCCCAGTGCACAACAATCCCGTACGATCCTCAAGGGTGGCCAGATGATGATTTTTATATAGCTTAGGCACATCTGTCCATTTTCTGTGGATATAAATCTTCAGAGATTGGGTATACATAATGTTGAACTTCAGTTCATCATCTATAGCTCTCATGAGCTGAAAATATTTCTGAATCTGGAGGGAAAATGACAAAAACATGAGTTTTTCACCAAAGCAGTTTTGAAAAAACGTAGCTTGCCTGTTACATTTTACCACACATTGCTGTGTGATGACTTTTTAGAACATTACTGTAGCTCATTTTAGTTTTAAAAATCATATCAACAATAAATAATAATTAATTCAAGGTTGCCAGAAGTATTTTTGCATTATCAGAATCAGAATGAGCTTTATTGCCAGGTATGTTTACACATACGAGGAATTTGTTTTCGTGACAGAAGCTTCCACAGTGTAACAGAATGACAGTGACAGACCAAAAACACAGATAATAAAAAACAGAACAAGTAAATAAGGAATACAAATATATAAATTGACAGTTGTATGTGCAGGTATATTACAATAGACAGTTTTGCATGTACAGGTACTGTATATTATGTGCAAATTTGAGGTGTAGACTGAGTATGTGTGTTAGATAAATAAGTGTATGAGTGAATAAATAGTGTGTGTTCCACAGTTATTGTTAAGTGTTCATGAGATGGATTGCCTGAGGGAAGAAACTGTTCCTGTGTCTCGTCGTTCTGGTGCTCAGTGCTCTGTACCGTCGACCAGATGGCAACAGTTCAAAGAGGGTGTGTGCTGGATGTGAGGGGTCCAGAGTGATTCTGCCAGCCCTTTTGCTCACTCTGGATAAGTACAGTTCTTGGAGAGAAGGGTCCGTCCGAATGTCCAGCAATTCGTCTCTGGTGAAACTGATTGCAGGGATATAACTAAAGACAGGACAAACTAACAAAAACATAAAAACAACTGCGGAGCACGCCACGGAGGCAGCCATCAGCGTCGGCGCCATCTTACTTTCTTTATTCACCATTTCCAACTGCTTGAAGGTGTCCTCAGTGTCCAGAGAGACTTTCCTGTAATGTGTGATCATCTGATAAATGTTACGGATTGTGACCTTTAGCTGAGCAAATCGGAGTGTCTCTTTTGCTGCAGTGGAATGGAAATGCTTCAATTTTAATTCCTGTAGAACACATGAATAGTCTGTAATCTTGGGAGACAGAACTGTACAGAAGACATAGGCCTGTAAATTGTGTGCGTGTGTGTGTTTACCCATTTGTATGCTTCTAAGCGTATGCTGTCTAGCTGGGTCTGTTGCTGGTGCAGTTGGTTGTTACAATGCAGGAGAACAGTTCGCTGTTTATTTAGGTACTGTATCAGTTCCAGCTTTGTGCTCTCTCTCTCTCTTTGTCTAACCTAGTTTGGTTTTCTAGAAGTTCTTTGTGGATAGACCGGAGTTCATGAAGACGGTCAATGGCTTGACCAATGTTCTCAAACTCAAATGTCTTTAAAAAGGGGGAAGAGAGAGAAGAAAAGTGTAATATTACTATACAAAATTTTAGATGCTGAAACAGGTAGAATCTGTATAATTTACACTTTTGATCCATTCTGTTTCCCCATTTGCGTCATCATTCAGAAAACAGAAAATAAAACCACACAGAATAAGACTGATCCAAAATGTTCATTGGCAGTTACACTTGATGAAGAATAGGAAATCAGGTCCTTTAAAGGGATAGTTCACCCAAAAATGAAACTTCTGTCATTAATTACTCACCCTCATGTCGTTCTAAACCTGTAAGACCCCTGTTCATCCTCGGAACAAAAGTTAAGATATTTTTTATGAAATCCGTGAGCTTTCTGACCCTCCATAGACAGCAAAGGTCCTACCACGATCAAGGCACAGAAACGTAGTAAGGACTAAATGTGACATCAGTGGTTCAACCGTATTTTTATGAAGCTATGAGAACACCTTTTGTGTGCAAAGAAAACAAAAATAACGACTTTATTCAACAATTCTTCTCCGCATTACCCTGGCGCAATTTTGGGGAGTATCACGACGCATGCGCATGCCTTTCCTGCATGTAAACAATGCATGCGCGTGGTGCTGCTGATGTCGAACACGCATGTGCTGCACCTTGTTTACGTTCAGAAGAAAAGCACACGCATGCGTCGTGATACTCTCCAAAATGGCGCCAGGGTGATGCGGAGGAGAAGAATTGTTGGATAAAGTCTTATTTTTGTTTTCTTTGTGCACAAAAAGTTTTCTCGTAGCTTCATAAAATTACAGTTGAACCACTGATGTCACATGGACAGTTTTAATGATGTCCTTACTATGCTTCTGTGCCTTGATCATGGTAGGACCCTTGCTTTCTATGGAGAGTCAGAGAGCTCTCGGATTTCATCAAAAATGACCATAATGTTATCAAAAATTGTGCTACTTCAGCTCAAATCATGGACAAAAACCTAGCGTAAACTGTAAGCTGGCACTTCCATTCCCATAGCCGATGTATTGAGCATTGCAATGTCTCTATCAACGAGGCACTTAGTTATTTCTGTGTACAGCTTTCCAGATCCTCCCATTCATATCTGTATGAAAAGATCATCTCTGCCCTTTCCAGTCTCTAGTTCAAATAACTCTGCAAACTCTCAAAGTATGAAAAGTCTCACTCTTCAGCCAAATGAGGTATGTGAGTCCATGAAAAAAGCTTGACAGTTTCTCTGAGCTGTTTCAGTACCTGTACCCTTTCCAGACACAACAGCAGTAGACTACCAACTAATAGTGCAACTACCTTTCCAGACATTTTTGCGGCTCTCTCCAGGAACTCTTGGTAGCATATGGCTTTTCTGACACGATCCTCCAGTACTCTTTTCGTGCCAGCAGGGTGTCGTTCTCTGCCTTTAGCTTCTGAATCTCCAGTTCTTTCAGTCTGATTTGAGATCTCTCTGCTTCCGCTTTCTTTATGGCACGCAAACGTCTGGCATCATTTTCCTTTAGGGAAAGAAAGACAAATCAGTTTACACATCATCCGTTCATATCCATGTAATTGTTTCGGAATGCTGCATTACTTGCAAAAACTTATTATATTTCAGTATGGATTTTTTCAATTTCTCCTCTTCTTTCTTAATGTTTTCGTCTCAAATTCTCCCGCTCCATCTGCATCTCCTGTCAACAGCACACACAAAGCAAGAAAAACTAACTGGAACAGCTAAAAAGTACATTTTAAATACGTAAATAAATAAATAAAAATGTAAATAGCTGAAACGTATTTTTCACCACCTCTTTTGAGCTTCCAGTGCCCTGGTCACGCTGGTGCACTCCTCACGCGCTTCATTTGCATTTACACTCAAATCCGCCAAATCCTTCTGCGCGGCCTTATTTCTGAAATTTTCAACAATCTCTGAATATATGCAGTTCACTCTGAACTATCTCTATGCGCCCAAACAATGCTTATACAAGAGTTTTTTGCACTTCAGCGACTTCTCTGAATCTCTGAAACCAAATCTCAATGGCCATTACGACGGCACATTAATGGTTCTAGAAAAAACACTGGTCGAACTGAAGTGTAATAAATGATATAGCCTATACTTACAATTTGAGTCGTTCTTCGAAAATCGACTGAAAGTAAGCTTTCAAATTCAAATTAATCTTTTCGAACCTCACAAACAGAAACGCGCCGCGCACTGTGTCGACAAACTTTCTGCTCGTGTGTCGTTTCCACAGGAACAAAAAGGAAAGCTTTTTCCTTTGTTGCCCTCCAGTTGCAGATTAAATTCCAATTCCTTTATTTCTTAGACTTAGATAATAAAGACTGCTGTTTTTCGATGATACCGAGTTCTACTTCAGGTCAGTTTATTGTGGTACTGATGAATAATGTTGCTGACTGATTATTATTATTATTATAACATTGTTATAACATTATTAATACCTGAAACAAGTGTAACACTAATAACTGTGGTAACTTTATTATTATTATTGTTATTATGCATCTATTAGAACCATTTTTGGTGTATGGATCAGTAGCACGCAATCATCTTCAGTTCGTTCTTAGGCACTGAAGCGCATTCAAATGCAAGCTATAAACATTTATGAGGCATTTCTGTTGAGAAGCCTGTTAAATGTCTTCTTCGCTTCAGATCGTGTCAAAATGCACTTTGTTGTCTACATCATTAGAATTTAATATGTATTTTTTTTTGCTATTTAATGAATAATTCCACTGGAATAACAATGTGAGAACATGAAAAAGAATTTTTAAGCCGCTTAATGGACTTGATAAGATTAATTCAAGTACGTTAAGTGTTTTTGTGTGTCTTTTTATTCCTTTTTGTTTTCGTGCGTGTGTCCAGACCTTCATTTATCTTTCATAAACATGATTCCATCTCCTGTCACCTTCTCACTTAATGCATTAGAGCCATAAAGGCTTCTGTTGTCTTAGTGTAGAATTAGAGGAAGTGATTTTTAACACCCATGTAAATGTCCAAATCTGAAAAGAGAAGAATCTTACTATTTTTGCCCCTCACAATAGACATTTGTTCAATTAGGTTATTATTTTTGGATTCTGTCATCATTTGCACATCAGTCTCATTCTGTACAAAAGCATGTATCTTTTTTTAGTCTTAATAGTATGCTATAGCAATAATCTTGCTTAAAAGATTTGTTTTTTTCTTTCTTTTAGGATTTAAATTTTAATTAAAAATCCATGTGCAAAATAATATAAAAAAGATTGGGTCTACTGAACAGTCCTCCATTAGTGATAATGATCTTTTACTGATAGAGACCTGAGAAAATCTGATCCTATGGACTGAAGCCAGGGATCCCATATTTAGTCTTGACCCTTTCCCTGACCTCAAATCTCAGAAAGAAAAAAAAAACATAAAAGAAGCGCAACCTTCAGCATCTCTATTGTGTTCACACATGATTGAACACTGAACAAGCGCAGGCGAAATTCATTATTCAAGAGCATAACAGAGGTGAGTGAGTAAGCAGGAGAGCCACTCAATGTTCAGGATGATGTTTACCCTTGCTTAACGTTCTTGATAAGTGA